GGAAAGAGGGTGCTTCTGCCCAGCTGGCTGGGGTGGCATTCTTTGTAATGAAAGTGAGTGATACCCTGAAGAATTGGTAAGAGGGTGCTATCTTCTCCTTTACTGTTGCTAGACCACTGGCGATGAGTTCTCCTCTACGTGTGTTCTCCCTAAAATGTTTTAACAAGGTAAGCAATTGATATGGGTGAGAAACCAATTTATTTGTTGTGCATAGAGAATGCCTGTGAAGCAGTGAGGTTTTAAAGTGAACATGTGATTAAAAGGGAAGATTTTGTGTTCCCTGGAAAACTTGATGTACTGTTTCTTATTTATCCATGGAGCATAAAAGTTAATAAAGAATCCTAGCATTCTAGGCCTATTAAAAATCCCTCCATTTAAATAAGTCATTAGGCCCAGGCAAGCTATTCCCAATAAAGACAAAAAAAAAAATAGATTTGTTCTGCAAAGTGTAAGTAATGAGATTGCTTGACTGCTGCTTCTTTTCTTTTGTGTATTTTTTTTCTTTCAAAATATGTTAGTACAGCCAATGGCACTTTTAAGTATTTTATATATCTCTCATAAAAAATATAAAGGATTAAAAATGATACCTATAATAAATGTATTCTTTATATTTTAAATGGAGGTGTGCTTGCAGGTACTAAAACTACCAAGTAATAAAAACAAAATAAAAAACAAAAACTACCAAGTAATAAAAACAAAAGTATCTTTGTTTTCTCTTTCTCTTTTTAAATTTACCTTATAACATTTTTAAGAGAAAGGTTTTCTTAACCTTTGTGATTAGCTTATATGATATGAGCAGATTTTTCATTTGAATCCCCAGCATATAGGAAGAAAAAGCACAAATATTGTTTCTATTAGGAGATAGGTATGATCTTACATCACAACATATGAAGTGGCTTAACCAAGATTACTAGCTAGGGTCTTGAGGACCTTCCTTAAGTATCCCTCTGCTCATGTGTCTCTTCTGCTAAAAAAAAACTTTAATAAGAGTGACCCATTTCCTGATACATAAAGCATATGTTTCTGATCTACTCACTAGTGACCCTCTAAAATCAGGCCCTTCTCAATTTTTTTTTGCTTTGATCTTAATCACAACTCTTTGCAGCTTATCATTTCCAAGAAACTAAACCACTTCTCTCTTATTGCTTTGCACTTTCCATTTTTGTGCCTTTTGCTAGACTGCCATTTTTGTCCATTTCCACTTATTGTATGAAGCCTTTTTGATGGCCCCAGTCTAACCTCAACTATTTATATTTCAGTGAATTTAAAGTCTCTCTCTCTCTCTCTCTTTCTCTCTCTCTCTCTCTTTCTGTTTGATTAGAGACACCAATTCTCCTGTTCCATTTCTTTGACTAGACCCAGTGCTCATTGTCAAGGTCCTACTCATGTTTCTCAAAACTGGAGGCACCTAGTGCATAAATTAACAAATAAAGAAAAGTTGATATTAAAATATTCAGTTATATTGACCTGCAACTTGACATTGATCTGCAACTGCATAAAACTAGGATCAATAAATGTTTTGCATGAATAAAAGGAAATAAACATTTTACTTTATATTGTAAGTTTTGTTGGAAAATATATATCTTCCAAACCCTTCATTTCTAGCATGGCAGCATGAAAAATAAAACTAAAAATCTGTCTCAAATTCATCAGAATATAGCATGTCTAATATAAAACTAAAATAGAGATATTTAAAAATGAACTTGCAGATAAAATGAAGATATCCCCTTCTTTGACTTTAAAAAACTTTGAGAATCTTTTAAGTTTTCACATGGTCCTTCCTGTACAGGAGTCTGTCCCTGAAAGCAGAAGATTTTATATATTTTTTGCTTTTCTCTCTGCATTTCTTAAGAATTCTTTACAGAGATGAAACGGAATATTCCAAATGGGGGAAAAAAATGTTCACTGATTCTTTAACAAAAAATGGGGAGTGAGAACTTTTTTAAAAATCCTTATACACTGCAATAAATGGATGTGACCAATCATTCATCATCCATATTTTTAAAAGTCCCAGCTGTTCAAATGCTGCAAGGGAAATTTTTAAAAAGAGCATTCTAAAGAGATCTGGAAAGTTAGTTTTCCCACTGAGGAGATCTTCTAGCCTAGCGGTTCTCAACCTGTGGGTCGCGACCCCTTCGGAGGTCGAACACCCCTTTCACAGGGGTCGCCTAAGACCATCAGAAAACACATATATAAGTACATATTGTTGCTGTGATTAATCACTATGCTTTAATTATGTTCAATTTGTAACAATGAAAATAAATCCTGCATATCAGATATTTATATTATGATTCATAACAGTAGCAAAATTACAGTTATGAAATAGCAACAAAAATAATTTTATGATTGAGGGTCACCACAACATGAGGAACTGTATAAAAGGGTCAGGGCATTAGGAAGGTTGAGAACCATTATATCTATTCCCTTTATTGGTCTATGATGAAGATATCTGCTTTGAAGTGTTAGGAATTTTCCATGTCATTAGAATGAAACAATTTAAAAATTATCACATTAATTTTAATAGCACCTTTCAGGACTCCATTTCTTTTGAAGAGATTTCATATTGAATGTTTCATTTGTTATTATGACACTCTATCCAGTTGACAGGGAAGATTATTTTCATATGACAAATGAATGGGTTATATATGGAGGGGAGGCTTCATGACTCCTTCCAAATCATCCAGCTATGGTTTGGGATATGTTTGTTTAAAAATTTGTTCCTCCAGGCCAATTGCTCTGTTTGATGCTAATGAATTACTTAGCATATCTGTGCACTATGTGGTATCATATTCTACTGTGTGGGGTAGTGACAGATAATAGCATGGTTTGCAGATGTGGAATTGATGACTTGCTGTAATCTAGATACTGTGCAAGTTATGTAAACTTCCTTAGCTTTCTTTTTAGGTGGATTTTTTTTCTACTCATCCCTTCTATTGTCACTAAGAATTCAAAAATTTACTACATGTAAATTAACAATGTACACCTAAACCAATGTTTGTTGACAATTTTTCTCTCTTGTTCCTTGTTTTCCTCTTTCCTTTTCATAGTAGCCTAGGGCTTGAAAGTAAAGGAAAAAAAAGTGCATAAGAAGCCAAGTTTCCATATAAGCATCTGGGATGGTGTGGGTGGGTGAATAGAGGAGGTGATATAAATGTAGTTTTGTAATATGTACCTATTATAATAAAATGTCAATTGAAATGGTTACTGACATTTTCTAAACAGCTGTATTTATCCAAGTTAAAATTAAAATAAAGCTACAGACATTTTTCCCAATTTGTTATTTTTATTGGGCTACTGAACACTTTCCCCAAAAACAACAAAACAGTTGTTTGTTTGACTTCATCATTCTTTGATGAAGAATGTAAATTACCTTGGGACCCTCAAGATAGTCTTAGTTGCATTTATTCCTGGTGAAAAATGCATGCCATTCTTTTCCTACATTTTCTTTCCTTTTTTTTTTTTTTAAATAGAAGGTGCAGTTTGTTTCTTATTAAAGTTTTTGGAGTTATACAGCAAGGATATCTAAGCTTTGAAAATGTGATGGTTAGAGTTTAAGGAACAAGGTACATTTTGTATGCAAACTTTCTTAGCAGCACCTCAGCCATCATTGTAAGTACCTGCATCAGTAATCCCGAGGAACTGGGAGCGTGCCAGAGACACTTCTCAGGTCTGCAAATTACGAAGATTTTGATTACTTGGTACCCATTCTAATAGGAAGACAAGATTGTTGTGTGTGTTTTTTCTCCATTTGTATCACAATGAGTATGTTATACTGTGATTGCTCAACTTCTCCATTTCCTTCATAGCTTGTTCCCCCGAGACCAATGGGGAAGAATGTGGAAGCATCTGTGATTGTCAGAATGGAGGCACCTGCGATCCTCTAACTGGGCAGTGCCAGTGCCCCCCAGGGGTGCATGGGAAAACCTGTGAACATGGTAGGACTGTCTGGTGCTGGTCACATGAGACAACTCTTTAAAGTCTTGAGACTTACTTATTTGCTTTTCATAATTAAAAGGAGGAAAGGAGGTGAAAATCAGAGGGAAAAAGGAGAAGAGGGAAAGAGAAGAAATTACGA